GGAAAGTTGTTTTACTGTGGCTAAAATGAACAAATGTTCTTTCAGCCTTAATCGGGCGAATTTCAATGGGCGTTGGCGCTGCTGCGTCTATTTCTCGTGTGGGGGCGTAATTTGCTGTCTTTTCTGGCTACATACAAGGGTCTCTTATCCTTGCTAGAGAGAAAAGTGGGGTGATAACCTCGGGGCTTCGATGGAGCTGCACGGATACAATATACTCGCTCTTCTGCTCTTGCATTACCACGCGCGACAAGGAACCGTTTGACCTCTTCTTCGCGTCTTCATTCGCCTGGGAAATCGCTTACAAACCCCCAAGGCGAAGCCTCCAATGTGTCTCAGCCGTCTTTTTTATACACAACAGAGCTTCAACTACCAATGCTGGGAACCGGAGCTGCGACCACCGGACCCAAGGCGGTGCAGTACGCAGAGAAAGCACCCCGCTGAGCATGGTTCTGAGCTCAACTGCTTGGCCTGTTGCGCCCGTGTTGCAGGAGGCACGAGTGGATGCATGCCTTGCACCCTGGCCACTTAGCTTTCTACGAGGTATGATATGCTATTCGCTTACATAGGATACAGGGAAAATCCTGCAAGCTCTAGCGGGGCAAACATGCTCTGCAGGAACTTTAAAAGACGCATCCTGGGGTTCTGTTTGGTGCTTTATCCTACTACGTCTCCGCCCGTAATCAGCTAAAGGGTAAAGTCTTAGTCATGGCGAGCTACACTTGTAACGGTTCTGCGGTTTGAGAATAGGACCGCGCAAGCGGCAAAAGCGATGCGGTGGCTGAAAGCCAAAGTTAGGAGCGCTGTGTGACACTTTGTTTCATGCAATATCGCTGTAGGGAGCCCCAGTTAAGGGGTTCAAAGAAACATATCATTCCTGCTGTTCTGCAGACACTGCGGATACTGCAGTTGCACTAGCACAGGCATGGCAACTGAGTTTCAAGAAGATCTCACCGCGTTGCGCCTTCTTGACAAGGCCTAGAGAACTATGAAAGAAGTGAGCAGAAGTAAGGCGGTAGCAAGGAGAGCAGACTGGCTAGAGGTAGACGCGGAGTTTTCTATGGCTTTCTTTATGTTCGCCCAAACATCCTCACTGCGAAGAAGGCACCACATCCCAGAGACGTCAAAAGCGCGTTACAAAAGCAAAACCATCTCACGCTTCGGCATGAACATCGGACAAAGCCAAACTCTGAAGCCCTCTGCAACTAATAAAGAGCGTTATGAAGACATGTAGAACAAAGAAACCGGCCTAACATTGCCGAGAAAGAAGCATGTTCATGCATGGCAAAGGAAAGACAAATGATCAATGCTAAAACGGCAGGGGCGGGATAGCGACGCACACAACAAGCAAAAAAGAACGTGAATTAGACGGCACTAAGCAGCACCTTGAAGACACAAGGGGCGCAGGCAGACAACGAATGAAAATGCGCCGACAGGAGGAACACAACAACACGCAGTTGGAACCACAGTAGCTGACTAATACATGGAAGGCCACAAAAGAAAACACGCTCAATACAGCTCGGACGTGACTGAAGCAGACGAAGGGAGTGCGCAGAGCAGATGAAACAATGAAGACAAACACCACTAGAGGAGGAGATACAGCCAATAGGAAGCCAAGGCAGCATGTTTTCAACAACGTACGTGAAGGGCTTTTGTCCTTTTACAAGAGCCGCAGGGTTGGTGAGGCAAACGAGGCCGGTAACCGTTTCTGAGGTAGTGGAGAGGCGCCGAACGGATGGTCCAGTCCTCTGAGGGTCTCCAGAGTCTCCTTCACGGGAAACAGGGTAGAATATGGGAGCGGCTGCTGACGCCCGACCCTGGACATCCCTGCTCGCTGAAGCCCCAGCGCTTCGCTCGGCACTGAAAAAACTACCTCCACCACCTCCGCTACTTCCGCTACCTCCGTTACCTCCGCCAGCTCCGCTTGCATCGCCCGAGGAGGAGGTGGAGGGAGAA